CAAAAGAACAGGAATACGCGGCGTACTCGAGGTGTGAGGTGGCATAGGTTGCAGCGAGAATCGGCGAGGGACTGCGAAGAGAGATAGGAAGGGGCAGACGCCCAAGGGTGGGCGACGGCTAGCATCACACTCCTCTCCTTCAAATCCCTCCCTCCCTGTGTGCATAGCGGGTCAGCAAGCCCTAAAACGGCGGGAGGGGTAGGGCTATATCGGAAGAGCTAGAGGGCTCAGCCACCCCCTACACGACACAGGCTGTGGGTGGTGCGGGTGGGTTTTGGCTTTTGCGTGGGTGATCACAGTCGTCCGTCCGCTTTAAGATGCTATCACATGCATGAATGAAATATAAACAGGTTCTGTCACCTGAGTGGTCTCATCTCTCTCAGATGTCATCTCGCTCGACGTGTGAAGTTTCGCGCGAGATAGTCGACTCCGCCCGAATCGCCCGCTGGCGTGGAGCTTGCACAGGTCGCGCACGGCGCCCGGAACCCACGGCACCGAAAAGTTGCGCAGCTGGCCTATGCTCGGCTCGAGCGGCACCCCGGGGTCGTTGCAGGCGGAGAGCGACGTGCAGAGCCGCCACGAGGCGGAGCGCTGTTGCGCCCACGGCGACGCGCGGCAGGAAAGCCGCGGCGGGACGTGGCTAGCTGTGGCCGCCTGCTCCGCGAACCACGAGAGCGTGCCTCGCCGAGAAGCGGCGTGAGAGCGGCCACGCGTAGTACTCTAGGAAACGCGACACCTCGACGGCATGGCGATGACTCCGCCCGCCGCCCTCCGTCTCAGCCCCCGCGGCCACCCCGCCGTCCCCGGACGGCGAAACCTCTGCCAGAACCATGCCGGAAGCGCTGCCCGACGGGCCGCCCGCCTCTCCTGGCGACGGCGTGGCCCTGAGCGGCGCTGCTGCAGCCCTGAGCGCAGCCGGCACGTGCGGTGTGGATATGGCAGGATCGTCCCGGATGCTCTAAAGAGAGGCTGATACCGGTACGACAGAAGCAAGACAGGCCGTGTGGGGTGTGGGTGTCACGAGGACAGACGTCCACGAAGACGGTGGACGGACGCAAACTCCTTATCCAATTCACACTCACGGCTGTCCTACTGGTCATATAGAAGTCGGCCGTCCGCGAGCCCCCAGCTCGCCGACGGCGAGAGAGATGCCACGAGGGGTCGCGGTGGCGTCCATCGCCAGGCTCCCTAGCTCAACCGACGACCCTTCGGGATCGACGGCCGATCGTCATGTGCTCA